GGGTAACCAAATATCTCTCCCTCGATTGTTGATCACTTGGAGAGGTAGTACGAATTCTTGTCTTTACTCTTCTTTAAATAATAGGCGCAGCCAATCTCCTCTACTATTGGCTCGCCGAATGCAATATACATAGCAACCGCTATCATATATGCATTTGGCGTCAACTGGAATGGCGCGACTTGGAAGAGGTTGAGAATTGACCTGATGTAGGGGTGGAGGGGTATCCTCACTCCACATTTGAAGATCGCTTCCGAGATCGCGACCATTCCCTCAGGAGGATCCTAAGCAGTATGCGACCTGTACTGATACACGTCCACGTTGATTACATACTGGTCTAGTGCTTTTTGAATCACTTCCTTCGTAACAGTAGATTGTATCACCTTTCCAGGACCTGACGAGATGCCAAGTGGTTGCGAACTTCTAGGACCCGCCGAGGTGCCCTCTCCAGTTGTTCTCATCTTAGGGATATCCATTGCCCCTTAAGTCTGTAAAGGTGGGACATGTAGGGGTGACTCAAACTCTACATAATCTACCTCGTACGACGACTTAGAAGAGTAAAAGAACCCTAGTTTCTCTTCCAAGGCCATAAAACCCTAAAAACCCTATAAATTCTTAAGAATGAATTTCTAAAAATCTATGCCCTAAGTTTCAACTCTTAAAAGTGTTTTTTTCAAACACTACCCAAGAATGTTCATCATCTAATCCTATCAAACATCCATAACCACCTTTACTGTAAAAACTAAGTTTTTAATAGAAATGAAAAAGAGAAAAGATTGCTGGGAACGGATGCTTTGCCATAACATTGAGTACGCATTAACCGGAAAGAGGATGAACTGAGTTTCTGAGTGCAAAAACATTGTTTTCTCTCTAAAAATTGAGTTCTCTAAAAAACTTGGAATGGGTTTAAGGTTTTATAAGGTGGAAGACGACGCTTGGCTTCATTTGTAAGCGATGTTTGGGCGGGAATGCGCTTCCAGCCTCACCAATCTGCAGGAAGAGTGACCTTCACACTTTGTGAAGATCAACCGATGCTTCTCTTTATTGAAATTACCAAGCGCCGATGTGATTATCTCCTCCACATTAAATGCGCCCTTATTCGCATTTAATGCTTCAAAAGGAAATGTCATTTCAGCATGGCTTGCATTTAATGCTCATGGCTGACACTTATTGCGTAGAGACACGGCTGTCAGATAAAGCTTATTTTATTGACCAAGACAACTATCAAACACAATAGATAAATCTGAGGAGGTCGTTCAAATAAGACAATGTTTTCACATGTCAGACTCGAACACCAAGCGAGATGATTCTTAGTTTTTGACAACAAAATGTTCTAAGTGTTTTCAGGTCGTGAATGACGGATAGAGTTCGAAACACATTTTAATAGCATCGGACAAGATCAAGCTTAGGTCGTTAGACCTCTGTGCACAATCACGACAGCTCGCTTGGGTAACTCTCAAAATCCATGTCACGGTCTACACTCAATTTGCTGGTCAGACCAAGCCATCAACCTCATGTCGTTTGTAACAATGTGGCTGTTCTTAGCTATTGGCTCGAGCAAACATTCCTAGAGACAAGTTAGATCGCAGCATAATCATGAAGTTCTCAAGATTCAATCCTTGAACCTTAAGAATTGGGGAGCTTTTGTTATGCCAAAAAAAATCAAGGCTGATGTAAGCTTACATAAGCAAACACCAATCAGAGTTTAGGAAGACTTTGCGCTGTCCATGAGCTGCCACGTCGCCCTAAGATAGAAAAAATACGATTGTCATCAACTTAGCAAATTTAGGTTTTGAATACTCAGTTATTATACCGCAGCTTGTTGTTTGTTATACGTGACCTCTTGTAAACTCTCATATATCAAAGAAACAGTGGACGTAGGAATTGTTTTAAGCATCCGAACCACTTTAGTCTTTGTATTCGATTATACTGATTAACTCTTGAATTAATCATATCACATGTAATTTCTAAGAACAACTTAGCACTTTGCACTTGCAGGTCGTTGGTGTCAAAATCATGCATCAACATGTTTGTATCTCTTTACATGAAATACTAAAATCATAGTATTGGTCATGATAAATTAATAGATTGACTTGAGAAGTACTAGATAGAGTCATTCTTAGAGTAAAACTAGTATGCATGTTATGACTTTATTTTCAGGCAAATTTAATTTTTTTTTCCCCATATTATCATAGCCTTGTTAGAAATTAGAGTGGGATTAAATTCTTCAATGAAGATTCTAATCTTACTGGATGATCAAATGATTTTAACTTTAAACACGTGAGGGGATTATCATGTTAGATACGTAAGTCTTGTAAGAAAGAATCATACACTCCTAAGTTTTCTGCATAAATAAGAGATATATCAATAATTCCAATTCTCAATTATATCGTATGTTTTAGTCTAAGTCATCCTATGTACGTACAATCAGGTTATTAGTTTTTTATGAAAGAAAATATATATTTTCAAAGCAGTCGAGTTTATTGATTGACCTAGAAAAAGTCCCACAATTATGGGATTCATTTAATTATCAATCATAATTTGTTTTCACATCATAAAAAATGTATCTATATTATGAATTATATAGATATCTGCGATAGGGAAGAGAGAAATAATAGGAACAATATTATATCACTAATTGAAACAAACGAATTGGGTGGAGGCACATATAAATGTGTAACCACTTTATTACAACATTGTAACAATAAAATAGGCAAGCATTATTCAAGTTATAGTAGCTAATTCACTGCATTTGACATGTTTCTCTAATCATCCATCTAGAATTTTGCCTGGAGATCTTTCACCACTTTTACGTCCAACATGAAAGCCTTGGCAAGAAAATCTAGATTAATTGGAGGATTTGACCCAAATACAGCATTGGCAATAGTAATGACACCGGGGTTTTGGCTGCTCAAACCAGCAAAGGCAAGAGCATTGTTTTTCCGATATTGAATTGAAAGTGAACGAGACCAATGGGGAAGACGAACACGTCACCCTTGTTAAGAACTTTGCTAATAAGTGTGTTATTAGGATTGGAAGTGATGAAACCAACAAGAAGAGTACCCTCCAGAACTAAAAATTAAACGGAGCTGGGTATAGAAATTGTTACGGAAAGAAAAAACTGTTACCCTCCAGAACTAAAAAATTGTTAGAGAAGAAATTCTTGAATTTTTCATTAACAAACTGGAGTAAGTCTACTAACTAACAGGAAACAACGTGCGCACAGATCTTTATAAAGCCGCTGATAGAAAACACTGCGTTTCTTACAAACTTTGACTTCTGACATTTTAACCCAGTCAAATTACAAGGTAGTCCTACTACTCTCCAAAATTACATTTTAACTCAGACTGCTCTTAAGCTTATATCTTGACAGGTAATATTTGGTAAAATTAATACCACATATTTGTAACTAAGAATAAACGCTTTCGATATAAAATTCAACGTTCTTACCAATATAATAAAAACTAAAGAGTACCAAAAAATTTGACGGAGACCAATTTATGTTGTATAATGAAGATATAATTTTATGATTATTTTTTATTTCGATTTATTACTATCAATTGCTTGTTAGGATCATAAAAAGCAAGTCATCTTTAAGTTTCTTTTGTTTGTCCTTGTCCCATACGTTAAATATAAAGCTTCAAAACGTATGACCCCCTTTATTCCTTTTCCTTATATTAATAATAAAATCTAAGCCTTAAAGAACCCAGTGTCTGAGACACGTAATGTAATAAATAGAATAGCCATATGTTATAGCCGACAAGGTGGTTCAAAATGAAAGTTGACGGTAGCCCATTCCCATATACAGTTATAAATTACTTAGAAATTAAGTCAGACAGAAGTCTTTGGTTATGTATCCATTAGTTGTGCTTTGAAGGTGTCAGACGTAGTAAAAAGACTTTTTATTTTTTCTATAGTGCTAATATATCAATAATTTTATCATTCTATCCTGTTTTAATTTACAAATCGAAAAGAGGTAATTTATTATAAAATAAAAAGTAAACCGATTGTTTCCTTTGGGATAAATTACATAAGCTAATCATAGATGAAAGTATGGGTGAGCAAACAAATAGGGTACAACTGGAACCGGTAAGTACTCGGGGATCCAGTTCTAAAAAATCAAAATCAATACTATGCATTTCTGGTTCCGGTTCCATCATTACATGAACCAGAATCGGAACCGAGACCTAGGTATTTGAGTAGGAGTCAGGATTGAACTGTAATTTTTGTAAAGGTTTGGAAATGTATTTTTAATTTTTGTGAATAGTAAGGGTAATCGTAATTTTCTTGAGTATCCAGAACCAAAACCTATGTTTGAAGTTCCAGTTCTCATTCCAATTCTAAATCCTAGGAACTGACCGATTTTGGTTCTCATTCTGGTTTCATGGGATTTGGATGGATACCTAGACTTGCCTACCCCTATACGAAAGAGAGTGGCACTGACGTTCGTCATCCAAATAGAAAAACAGCCAAATTTTGTAACATGCATGAGCTCAACATGAAAAGGCTTTGCAAAAAAGGCCCAAAGGTGGCCAAGAGGGACCGCCAAACAGAAGCCTGAAAAACTCAATTAAAGCTGCGGAAAATTGCCCACAAGGGATGAACCTGGAATCCTGGTCTCTATTATTAAGATTCAATTTACACATGCTTAATCAATTGAATAACTGTTAAAATATTCAACGTTAATGTAGCTTGTTGACTACACAATTATTCTTTAATTTTCCATTGAATTTCACATTCTAATCTCTCTTAAGGATTTTTTATTATGTCTTCAGAACAACTTATAACAATGAGAAACTTTGAGTGAATATACTAGTGCACATAAAATTCATCCTACATACGTACAATAGATTATTAATTTCTTACAAAATAAAATATATATTTTCAAAGGAATCGAGTTTATTGACTGACCTAGAAGAAGTCCTAGAATTATGGGATTCAATTATCAATCAAATTTTGTTTTCACTGAATTATATAGATATCTGCAACAGAGAAGAGAGAAATAATAAGAAAAATATTATATCATTAACTGAAACAAACAAATTGGGTGGAGGCACATTTAAATGTGTAACCATTTATTACAACATTGTAACAATAAAATAGGCAAGCGTTATTCAAATTGTAGAAACTAATTCACTGTATTTGACACATTTCTCTAATCATCCATCTAGAATTTCGCCTGGAGATCTTTCACCACTTTTACGTCCAACATGAAAGCCTTGGCAAGAAAACCTGGATTAATTGGAGGATTTGACCCAAACACAGCGTCGGCAATAGTAATGACACCGGGGTTCTGGCTGCTCAAACCAGCAAAGGCAAGAGCATTTGTTTTTCCGATATTGAATTGAAAGTGAACGAGACCAATGGGGAAGACGAACACGTCACCCTTGTTAAGAACTTTGCTAATAAGTGTGTTATTAGGATTGGATGTAACGAAACCAACAAGAAGAGTACCCTCCAGAACTACAAGAATCTCAGTGGCACGAGGGTGAGTGTGAGGTGGGTTTTGGCCATAAGGAGCAAAGTCAATACGGGCAGCTGAAATGCCAAGAGTGTTAAGTCCTGGAATTTGATCGACATTCACAGCGCTAACATTTGAACCAACTGGATTGTTTGTGTCTCCAGGCATTTTAACTGAAAAGTAGAAGTCCCCAGCTTTGGCGAGCTTGGGGTCCTTGCAGAACTTCCCATTCACAAACACTGCATCAAACAATCAAATCAGTAAGAATAATATTAATGCCTAGCTACACATAGGAGAAGAGTTAGCTAGATTATATGAATATACTGAAAGAGAAATGAGTAAATACCAGCGTTCTTTGGCTCATCGATGGCTACACAGAAGTCCTGAAGAGGACTGGGGTCAAAAGCGGAGGCAAATGAGGAAGCCAAGGCCAAGAGGACAAAAGCCTGAACGAAACTTTTCATTTTGATTATGCTGTCGCTCTATTCTTCAAGAATTAATATTTCTTGGTGAGGGGTGAGAAATGCTGCAAGGCTAGCAACTCTATTTATAGGTGAAATTTATTGAAGCAGTCTCGATTGTTTTCCCCTGCTCGAAGCAGATAACAAAGAGTATTGGCAGTTGCTAAGTCTTCATTGGCTATCTTTATCTTAGTTTGTACTTGTTTGATTAAGTAAAATTTGTAATTTCTTCTTTGCGTACATCAACACATTTTTACACATGGAAATGGTCCTCTTTTATATTTTTGCATTTATTATTTTTATCTTAAAGTTTCATGGGATGCTCAGAGTACTGACATATATTTGATTATGAAAAACTGTGAAACAATCAATTTTTTTTTTTTTTTTTAATGACATATATAACAAGTTCTTATTCAGAAATTAATCCCCTTACTGAAAGTGTCAAATTTTAAGGGAGATAATGTTTAAAATTAAATCAATCGTATTTGTTAAATTATTAATGATTAATTTATGAATCATAAAATCAATGATAGAAAATCAATTAAATAGTCATAAAATCAATTAAATTAATGATTGAGAAGAAATAATGTAAAAGATAGTTTTTGAATAAATTATTATATTTTTCCTATATAGGAAAAAGATGATAATTAATTTTATTAGCACCTAAAATTTTATTAATCGATTATTTATCATATATAAAGCCATATGATACATGTGGACCAGGTATTCTGCAGAAATAGTTGGAGGAAAATATATACTTGAGTCTTAAAATCGTCTCTGCAGGTATCCATTATGATTCTAAATGTTGACCATCACTTTCTGCTAATGTTAGATAAAGTCCTTCAGTATTAATTTAACTATAAGAGTTTTTTCAAATGTTGAAAGAGTTTGGATTAGGTTTTTACTTGTGAAATATAATATTATTATGAAGAAGATGAACAAATATACTTTATTGACTTGGCAAAGCCATTACTTGGAAGTTATGCACTTAATGTCAAGATAAGGCAAGTACTTTTAGTCTAGGAGTTATTAAAATTCATAAATGCAAAATTAACGGATCGAATTCATGTGATTCATCGATGTTGCATAATATTTGGTCGTCTAAGATTTTAGGAACCCCAAGTCCTCAAAATTGCAGGGTCATCTACTTGGGCTCCAATTTCAAAGCCGGCCTTGCAAAGCAAATGATGAAGATATTTGGATTTTTAGAGGAAAAAAAAAAAAAAAAACGAAGAAATTTGGTATTGAAATTGTTAAGAGAAATAACTATTGGACTAATTGTTTCCAATTTTCTATGTATTATTGGAGAATGAACAGGGAATGGACTTTTTCACGAACTTAGCTTTACTAATTTGATATATTTTGATTTTGCTAATCTTTGGTTAGATAAACACATGATTTGTCTAACCATATGTTGATATTTATAAACGATAAGTTATGTAACAACTAAAAAAGAAAAAGAGCTATTTACATTAATTCAAGCCAATGTCCCATACATTGATTATAATTAAAAACTTCATTTATAAACATTGAAACATTTTTCTTATTTTAAAATACCACATTTTCGGAACTAAGAATATATGCTTTGGGTATAAATTCAATATTTGATTTATGCAATAAAACCTCATTTTTTTTTTTTAACCACCACTGGGTACCCTGATAGTAAAAGAGAGTATTGAGTATGAGAGTGAGTGAGAAGGGTGTTTTTGTAACAATTAGAAGTTACATTAATACTCTAGGGTCTGTTTTGTAAAAGATTAAGACTTGATTATCATATGGTGGCGTTTTGTTCATCTTATAACTGCTATATAAGTGCATCGTTCTTCTGTTTTTAAGTGTTGTTAATCAATTAATAAAAAATTTCTGTTCTTCAATTCTTTAGCTCAATTTACTTCTCTCTCGAACATTTTTCTATTTTTTATTTTTCTTTCAAGTCCGCTCTAGAATCTTCATGGTATCAAAGCTTTAGACAAACGTCAATGGCTCAATTGAATCTTGGATTTTCTAATATCTCTTCAAAGTAAAAAATGGAGCAAGCTGGATGTGCCAACGCAAACAATTCAGCTCTGCATGCAACAATTCCCACAATTTCAGTGAAGCTCGTGGAAAGAAATTACAATCACTAGAAATCTCAAATCCTTCCAACTCTAGCATCCCATGAACTTGATGGTTTCATTACAGGTGAGAATATTTGTCCACCTATGTTTCAAGTTAGAAAGTCTATTGAATCTGAGGAATTGTTAAAAGAACCAAACCCTAAATATTTCAATTGGAAAAAGATAGACTAGTTCTTAGTAAGCTGGCTTTTATTGTCGATTTCTGAGTCCATGTTTATACATGTTGCTAAGTGTACCAACTCTTATGAAATATGGAACACCTTGGAGTTACATTTTCAGTCCTATTCTAAAGCTAGGACTCTGCATCTTAGAAACCTGTTACAAACAACTACGAAATGTGACTTGAGTATTAATGAATATGTGCTTAAGATGAAAGAACTCGGAAATGAATTAGTGGATAGTTGTGTTAATCTTGGAGATGAGGAGTTGCTGTTATATATTCTGGATGGCTTAGGACCAGAATATGATGTAGTAGTCGCGAGTTTGACTTACAACAGTAGCACTGCTAGCATGAAATGGGGTTAGAACGACAACATAATGCTATGGCAAACCTTCATGAGCATTTCAACTAGCTCTTTTTGCATCAAAACAAGGAAATAGTAACTCATCTGCTGCTCATCCACAAAATAGTGTACCTGTTCACAAAATACCAGTACAAAATCTTCCAGGATCTGCTCTCAGCTATGGCTATCAGAATAACATAAACTCTAGTATAACTACTCTTGGTATTATACATCTTGCAGTCGGTAATGGTGGTAATGTTGATTTTGAGAACAGTAGCTACCTAGGAACAGTCTTTAATAGACTTGGTTATCTACCTAATACACAGCCTTTTAATACTGGAGGTTTTCAGTTTAACAACAATATGGTTAAAGGCAAAGGCAGAGGCTAGAATTACTTTAAGCCAAGGTTGATCTGCCAAGTGTGTGGCAAACCAGGACACTTAACCATACAGTGTTATCACAGATTTGATCAAGAATATCAAGGTTTTGTTCCCTACAATCCTCAAACACAGGCCAATGTTAATGTCTACACTTCACATGCTCTTTCATCTAATACTCCAACTGAAGGACCTGGTGACTCTGCTCAAACCTTATTTGCTAACCATTACACACCAAGCTAAAATAACTTTTCCAGCTTTAAACCAAACAACTCTGATACTGTGGTTCCAACTAGTTCCTTTGGTGGATTTCATGACTACTCAGTCCCTATAATGCCTAAAAATTCCTCTGGCCCTGGATTTCAACATAATTCTCCTACGAACCTTCATGGTGTTCATTTGTCAACCACTACGAATAGTACTTCTCTTACATCACCGGCATCTTATCAAGCTGTTGCTACACCTCAGACCCTTCAAGACAAGTCATGGTATATGGATTCTGGCGCCTCAAGTCATATGACAGCCGATAGATCAAACCTGATGCTCAAATCTGCTCATACAGGAGACTCCAAAATGTGGGTTGGTAATGGGGAATTTGTTCCCATTACTCATTCAGGTATGATGCTAATACCTTCATATGATGCAAATAGACTTATTCATCTTAAGGATGTGTTGTGTGTTCCCAAAATTGCAAAAAAATTGCTTAGTATTTCCCAAATTACTAAGGATAATGGTGTGATTGTGGAGTTTCACTCAAATTGTTGTTTGGTAAAGGACAAACACATTAGAGCTGTTCTACTTCAAGGCACAATCAAGGATGGACTGTATCAGCTTGAATTCATGCATGTTGGTAGCTCACCCTTGGATTCTGCCTCTTGTTTACCTACTGCATTGTTGTCATCAGAAACTTCTACTTCTCCAGTCAATAAAGTTGCAGCTGCTTACTCTCCCAATACTTACCATGCCACTAGACATATAAATAAGACTGCCAATGTAGATATGTTCATGCCATGACATGCAAGACTAGGTCATCCAAATGTGAAGACACTTAATGTTGTTTTGAATAAGATGAATGTAAAACAATCTTTGACTAGAAATAAAAATTTTTTTTGTGAGGCTTATCAATATGGTGAATTGCAACAATGTCAATTCCCTGTTTCAGATTCTCGGGCCAAAGTCCCTTTAGAGATAATGTATTCAGATCTGTGGGGACCTACTTTAGTTAATTCTAGAGAAAGATTCGGATATTAAATCATTTTTGTGAATGATTATAGTAGGTTTACTTGGATATACTCACTGAAATTTAAATCTGAAGCATATTCCACATTTGTACAATTTCATTGTTTTGTAGAGAAACAACTAGGATATCAATTGAAATGTTTGCAAACTGATTAGGGAGGAATATATAGGACATTTACTGGTTATCTACAGCAGTGTGGGGTTATGTTTAGGCATTCATGTCCCTATTTGCACCAGCAAAATAGGAGAGTTGAGAGGAAGCATAGATCGATTACAAAATTTGGTTTGTCTCTTTTAGCACATGCGGGTATGCCTTTAAGATATTGGTAGGCAGCCTTTAGCACAGCAACCTACATTCTCAACAGATTACCTACTTCAGTCCTTAACTTCTCATTACCTTATCTCACTTTATTTCACCAAGAACCTGATTACTTAGAGTTGAAAGTTTTTGGATGCAGTTGTTATCCATATCTAAGACCTTATCACAAACATAAGCTTACTTATCACACAAAAAAATGTGTTTTTCTTGGTCATAGCCTTTCCCATAAGGGGTATCTCTGCCTTGCATCTACTAGGAGAGTTTACATTGTGAAACAAGTCAGATTCAATGAGGTGGATTTTCCTTTTAAAACTGATCTTTCTCTTCAACTACTGATTGTGCTTCACAAACTACTTCTCCCATCAGTGTTTCTGCTATGCCTTGGTATATACCAATATCAGTTTCTAATGTAACATTATCTACTGAGTCTGTTTCAACACAGCCACCACATTTTGATTCTCCAGCACAGCTATTACATCCTGACACAT